CGTGTGTTTGCCCCCCTGGAGGGGGGGGGGGGGAGCGTGGGAGGCTGTGCAATGTCCTCCTTGCAGCGAGGAGGGACTGTGTGGTGCCCCTCTTGCAGTGGGGGGAGCCGTGCAGTGCCCCCCTTGCAGCGAGGAGGGGCCGTGCAATGTCCCCCTTGCGGAGGGGGACCTGGGGGGCTGTGCAATGTCCCCCTTGTAGCTAGGAGGGGCCGTGTGGTGTCCCTCTTGCAGCAGGGCTGGGCTGTGGGGGGCTGTGCAATAGCCCCCTTGCAGCGGGGGGGCTGTGCGGTGCCCCCCTTGCAGCGGGGCTGGGCTGTGGGGGGGCTGTGCAATGCCCACCTTGCAGTGGGATATAGGGGCAGTGCCGTGCTCTCTTGCAGCTGGGGAAGGTAGAGGCTTGGGGGGGGCTGTCGGGACCCTCTTGTGCTTGCTGGGTGATGGGGCTGGATGTGGGCTCAGACCTGGCTGGCTGCAGGTCCCCCTCGCCGGCTCAGAAGTTTGATGCTGTTTTCTCTTTTTGCACGGCTCAGGGGTGTGCCAGACTTTTTAAGCTGACTCACAGCCCCAAGTAGGTCAGTATCTGCTCAGCTGGAGCCGGTCTGTTGTCTGTCGGTGGTTTTTCTGCACTGATAACCAGTCTGGGAGGCTTCTGCGAAGTTCCTGGGCTCCCAAAGCACTGGTTATTGCTCTGGGGTCTCGGGGAAGGGAGGCTTATATTTAAACTAAACTTGAAGGGTGGGGAATTGTATTGGTAGTGTTGAAAACCCCTCTAAGCTCTGCATTTAAATTTGGGGCCTAAATTCTGGAAGTGACTCTTTGAACTGGAGCTTGGGCTTTGGCTTGACAGTGTCTCTGGCGAGTCTTGCCAGAGGCCTTTTGCATTACTGCAATTTTAAGGCCTGGCCTTAATGATCCAGAATCCATGGGCGTTATTACTACCAGTCTTGGAAACCCTGATGCTGTCTTCGGAACAAGTATGTCAAACTCTTGAGTACCTACCAGGTCTCGAGTTTGCCAGGTTGAGCGTGCGTGCAGGCTTTGCTCCTGGGAGCAGGTGGGCGTGGAGCCCTTCCCTGCGGGGCTGGGGTCTGCCCTGCAGCCCCCAGGGTTCGGCCGCCTTCGGGGAGCCTTCGGGGAGCTTGCTATCCAAAAAATACCTGAGTGCGCATTATGTAAGAAGTGAGTGTGGCGTTGCTTATACGGCAACGCGAAGCCGTTTATCTGGGTGCGTCTGTGCAGTCGTGCTTTCTGCGTGTGACCATAAGTTTGAAACGGGAATTTTCCCCTCTTATCCATAATAAAAGGAGAGTAGAACAAAGTACTGTGGAGAAAAGGTATAAAGCCCCTCCTTTCTAAAGGCATCTAGTATTGAACTGTGCTGCTGCTTGTAGCCTTTAGTCTCTAGCATGTAT